CCTTGAACATTATGGCCTGATGGAAGGCCAGAAAAGAAGAGCGAAATCAGGGTGTTTCGGTACAATGGATAACTTGCTAATCAATAGAGCAGTAATGTTGGATTGCCAGAGGGGCAAACGGAACTTAAGCATGGCATGGATTGACGTGCGCAAAGCCTACGACTCCGTCGACCATGATTGGCTATACGCAATGACTGGCGTACAGAGGCTTCCCATCTGGCTGGGTAAGGTCATACGCAAGTTGTGTGCGAGCTGGAATACTAGAGTAGTAGCTACAACAAGGCAAGGGCAAGAGACTTCTAGAAAAATAAGGTTCATGAAGGGACTAACCCAGGGGGACGCTTTGTGTCCTAGATTGTTTACACTGTGCCTGAACCCAATAGCGTGGCGCCTGCGGGCAACGGAGGGATGCCGGCTATCCAAGCCTATAAGAGTCATAGTCACCGATCTCCTGTATATCGACGACCTGAAGGTTTTTGCTGCCTCCGAGAGCAAGCTGAACCGACTGCTGAAGGAGACTAAAGGAGCGATGCAAGATATCGGCCTCCACTGGAATCAGAAGAAGTGCTCAGTGGTACACGTGAAGAGGGGAGCCCAAATGCTAGACTAGTCTGGTATGAGGATGGACGAGACAACTACCATCGCGGCTCTGGGGAAGGAAAACCCTACAAATTCCTGGGGGTGCTAGAGAACGTTCGACAGGATGAACGGCTGGCCCTGTCGTGTGCGGCTAAAGAGTATCTACGCAGGATGTCTATTATATGGTCCAGCCCCCTGTCTGACTGTAACCGTGTACAGGCAACTAATCAGTATGCACTATCGGTGCTGCGGTACTTAATGTGGACACAGAATTGGCCTCTAACAGAGTTAAGAGATGTGGACAGAGCAGCTCGGAAGATCATAGTTGAGAACGGTGGCAAGCACCCAGCTAGCCAAAGTTCTTTGTTATGTCTACCGAGGGAGAAAGGGGGTAGAGGCCTGCGATCAGTCGAACACGAGTACAAGATCACTAAAATCAAATCGCTACTGAAATTATATCAGAATTTGGACCGGACTGTGGAAGCAGTTAGAGAATTTGATGAACTCGCCATGGCATCAGGCCACCAGTCGCTTGTAAAGGAAGCAGCTAAGTACTCTGAAGAACTCAACATCACACTTCAGCTTGATACCCTACATCCCGTGAGTGTTACAAAGGAAGGAAAGGTGGTGACTGCAGCAAGAGCTGGGAATCTGTTGAAGCAATCTCAAGAGAAGCAGTTCTTGGAGTTCGCTAAGGACAAAAAGTGGCGAGGAAAGTTATTCCGTATCAGATGGGAAGATGAGAGCCTAAGCATAACCAGCTGCTTTGCATGGTTAAAAGGTTGGACTACATGCCCTACATATACCTTCGCGGGCATGTATGAACTGTATGAGCAGTTGTTACCTACGAAGCTCTACACATAGGAGAAGACACAAACCTCCACCGACGGCGAAGTCCTATGCAGGTTATGTGGGAAGGTAGCTGAGAGCGTTGCACATGTAAAGGCTGGATGTTCTTCCCTGGCACAAACCAAGTACCTATACAGGCATAATGCAGCTTTGAAGATTCTGTTTTTTGAGCTCGTGCGAGAGGATGGTTAATGGAAGAGGTTCCACCATGGTACTCACCCAGCCTAGCAGAACACCACGAGTGAGGCTGCATTTATGTAAACACAACGAAGTTAGAGCAAATCGGATCGACGCACGACTTGTCAGCCACTAGAGGAAAGAAGTCTGCGCAATTGAAATGAGCTGCCCATGGATTGAAAGTAGAGCCAAGAAAGATGATGAAAAGACACTCAAGTATGGGGCCATGATGTGGGAGCTGAAGCAGAGACATAGTGGTTACAGGGCTGAACAGTACAACGTAATAATTGACGTACTGGGTGGTTACTCTAAACACCTAGAGAAGTCGGTGAGGAAGCTACTAGGAGCGAGACTACGGAGCGTACTTGAGCGGATGCGGAAGTTAGGGCGCTATGGACACCAGATGGTAGGTTTTTTTTTTCTCTAGAAATCCAGAGACACAAGTTTACGGATGTTTTTACTTAGATTTTATAGAGTATTAGAGTTTGATATTATTCTAAAAAGGCTTTTAGTAGAGATAACCACATTATGATGGGCTCGTTTAGGTATATAAGAGATAATGAGAGTATAAAAACTGAATAATTTTCTAAATAGGCTTCTAGTAGAGATAATTGTATCCTCATGTCTTTGCGTAGGTTTTACAGAGTATAAGAATTTAATAATATTGTAAATTGACGTTTTAAGTAGAGAGATTCATATCATTATGATTGTATTAGGTTTCGTACCGACCTTTTTTCACTTCTAAGTATAGCTTCTCAAGTGGTGTAGGTTACATCATGAGCCCTATACTACTAATAATGTGGACAGCATTCCAAAGTTTTATACCGCGAGATAATAATAATAATAATAATAATAATAATAATAATAATAATAACAATAATAATAATAACAATAATAATAATAACAATAATAATAATAACGCTTTATTTCTACGGAATAGCTCTACATCCATCAAGACTATCTAACTAGTGAATTACTTTATGGATTAAAAATGAAAGTACATTTAGGGGGATCCGCTCTTTACCGAGTTACGGGCTTGAGTTGAGTTGGAATTGAGTTTGAGTTAAGATTGAGTTAAGTTTGAGTTACCAAAAAAATGCCTTTTTTGTACAAAAATGTTTTTTTCACCGTTTGTTTTCTTTTTTCTTTTTTATTATGCCTTTTTTATGACTGGTGCGGGTAGGTACGCTCCTGCTTTGGGAAGCGATACACTTCATGAGCGCACGTTACTGGAGTTCACTGTTCACGTTTTCTATGAAAGTAAGATGATCTTTTATAGAAAAGCATGTTCAAACATAAAACTTTTTTTTCAGTCGCTAGATACCCGGCATCGTGATCCCTTTTTAACTGATCTCTCTTCCTAGCCGATGACAAAATAGAATAATTTTATAAAGGGCATTGTGTAAAAAAATATGGAAAAAGAGAAGAACGAAATGGACGAAAACTGTTCTTTTTCCCACGGTTTTTAATGCATTTGCGACTCACTTGGTAGCATTCGGTCAGTATAAAACATGGGACTGCGGTCTGCAGACCAGGTATAAAATGCGGACTACGGACTACGTTGGTAAAAACTGTGCTTATTGGTTCTAGGTAAGGTAAAATAAGATCAAAAGATCGCTAAATAGCACAAAAGTGAGTTTAGGTTATAAATACTCCTAGAAATTCTTGAGCCTGAAGAAAATGCTATTGTCTACACAAATTCAATTTTAGAAGCAACGACAAGGAACGGATCCTAATAAAGGATGTAATCAATGCGTTATAGGTTGAAATATCGAACAAAAGAAGCATGGCTGATTTTATAGTCGGGAATATATATTTTTTGTTACCAATATTTCGGAAGGTATATATGGCGTTTCTTCTTCAGGGTCTTGTATGTAAGACACTAGGAGGGAACGCCGTGTCTTCCGAAATATTGGTAACAAAAAATATTTATTCCCGACTGTAAAATCAGACTTACTTCTTTTGTTCGATATTTACTACACCCATTTTTAGAACTGGTCTCGGTCTCTAAAATCCATGACAGGGGTCACAAACGCGATGTACATTTCTACATAGGCGTAAATCATAATCATAATCGCTTAGAATATAACTTTGATCATTCCCCAAAATTTTAGTTCCCTTTCCTCTTTCGGTCCTTAAAGTTAAAGAAGCCTAGGAAAAGCAAACACGCTGTTCACGTTAAACACGCTATTCACTTGGTCTAACAAGAGAAATTCCCACAAAACCAATTTCTCTCATTTTTCTAATGATTTTGCTACAAATTAAAAGTAGCAACAACAACAATTACTAGTACTGCTGCTGCTGCTGCTAGACTAATACTCCTATTTGTTGCATTGTTTACATACGAAAAGTGAGAAGCATGGGTTACTGAAGACTTTTCCGATCCCAGAGTTTATTGCAGGATAAGCTAAAAACACGGGAATAGCCTGAATACTAAAGAGATAGGTTAAGAAATTGCTTACTGATGTTACAGTGAAAAGCGATATAAGCGTAAACAACGGATATGGCCAGAATACTAATAGCATGCATCTTGAAATCAGTATCTGATGTTGAAGGGTACAGTGATTTAACCGTAAACTGCGGGTATGGTCTGAATACTATCAACAAGGATCCTGAAATTGCTTTTTGATGTCAAAGTGTACAGCGAGACTTTTTATAAGCGTGATATACGGGGATGGACTGAATTAATTAACTTAATTTAAAAAAAAAAGACAATAAAAATTCAAAAAAATAATAATTATAAATAAAATAATAATAATAATAATAAAATAAATTATTATTATTATTTATTATTATTTTATATTATTCTTGTTTTTGTTGTTAATAAAATTCAGACCAAACCCGTAGTTTACGCTTAACTCGCTAAACACTTTAACATTAAAAAGTAATTTCAAGATCCTTGATATTAATATTCAGACCATATCCGTAGTTTACGCCTATCTCGTTTTACACTTTAACATTAAAAAGCAATTTCAAGATCGTTGATATTAATATTCAGACCATATCCGTAGTTTACGCTTAAATCGCTGTACACTTTAACATCTGATACTGATTTCAAGATCCTTGTTTTTTGTCTTCAGATCATACCCTTGGTTTACGCTTATCTCTTTTTAGACACCAAAAGCAACAATAAATTTAACAAGTACCGTTAAGATTTAGTTCCACAGGTAGTTTGCTAATGTTTTTCGTGTGTGAAGGGAATACCGGTTATCGCGTGTAAGCGTATTTGGACTGAATAATTGAGTCAGACTGAGGTTAATTTATGCTCGCACTTTCAGTCAACTAATCCAGCCAATGGCACAGACTTGTTCTATTCCCGTAAGTATTGTGCTAGATATAACATGGCTAAGAGGCCTTGAAAAAGGGCTTTTACTCGACTTCGTTGGCTAGTCAAGATGAGCAAGCCTTGTTCGCAGCTAAACAGCAAAGTTATAAGGGATAAAGTGGAGTGTCACATAGTAGCAGCAATTGAGAAAACGTGTTCTGTTGTAGCATTTAAGAGCGAATGCACAGAAAAATCGAGCAAACCGTGGCCACAGCTCAAAACCTAACCTACCCTCATTTTAAGTCTCTAATAAGGTTTTAATGAGTTTATAACACTGCTGAGGTTTAAATTTCAAAATGCAGCCGAGTTTGGGAATTATTTGAAATTTTCGATTTCAACGGTCCGCGGGCCTAAAATTAGCCGCCGAAAACGGCAATATAGCCTAGCGACAGAAATGAGCTGACTTTCATAAACGAGCGAATATATTGGCAATCTTCCGCTTAAATCTCAAAAAACAGATATTAACAATTTCTAAACAGTACATTTTTTTAGATTTAGAGCATAAAATATCGACGAACGAGCACAATTTTGAACGTAATTTGCATAATGCTTATAAATACAACAATTTACCGCTAAAACCAAAATCGAATTTTCTATATGGGGGAATTCTCCAAATCACCCCTAATCCCGCTTACTACCTAATGAGATATAGTACTTCAACATTATCTGAAAGTTAGTCTGGTGTTCTCGCGAACGCTTGTAAAATAGATTGATTATTTTGAGGTTATTTTGCCCCAAACAACCGCTAATTGATCCCAGGGTCAGTTGACACGTGCACGTCACCTTAGTTTTATGCATCGATTTGAGCTCGTTAAAAGGGCGAAACTAACAAGATTTTTTTAATATGTACCTGTTTTAATGAAATACACGCAATCTTCAAAAGGAGAGGCAGTTCAGTGGGTAATGTCTGTTCTTGAGATTTTGTAGATTGTACCATGGCGTCTGCGAGTGGACGTGAGTCTAGGTCTGTTTTCCCGTGACTGCGAAATCAGAATAACATCATGAAATAATTCTCGCTCGAACCTTCGTAAATGAATCCGCTTTGCAGTGCCTTACCTGAGATAAAAAGTGGGCCGAATAGGAAAACATTCTAGCGCAATTTGGATCCTTTGCAGCACGTAGTGTATTTGCTAAGCGGCGATGGTATCAGTGACTTTTAATTAGTTACTCACCTCCGATTGCGTGACCAGGCAATTATCGATTGTCTCCTGCGAAAAATAAGTGCACGGGAAACCAAAGCTTTCGGGATACAGTAAATTCATTTTCCTGTATGACCAGGTGTCCTTTTGTCCTATTTTAAAAGCGGTTAACTAAGATGATTAGCAAACATACTGTCCCACTTTTAAAAATGGTACAGTAACTGAATGTTCTGTTCTTCTGATTTTACCCCCAACCCCGGAGTGTTAAGAAGATATATTTGCACTACGCATGAAAGGCAAATGGATTAAATTTTAAGGTTCAAGGTGGTTTTAAGGCATGGGTTACCAGTGGATTAGTCAGACTTCTCATAAGGTGCATTGAACGGAAAATTACAGGCATGATATCTCTGCTATTGTATATATGTCCATTAAGTGATTTTCCAGCAAACATTTTTTGACTTTTTTACCCCAAAAGTTTTTTCCGTTCAATTCTTATCTATGAGATCTAAACTTAGTTAAATTTCTGTAATTTGTTGTTAAATGCAATTCTGCAAACAACTAAGTATTTAATTTTGCGTAAAAGCTACCTGAAATTGTACTGTTTAGCCGTAAATCATAAAAAAGAGAAAGCACCATGCTTTCTCTTTTCAAGTCTAGTAGGACTTAAGCAATGGCATTGCTTAAGTCCTAGTAGTTGTTCTCCATGTCTGCTAAGGAGGAAATAGTTTGCTCTTTTCAAGAAATTGTTCTTGCCCATTGCGGTTTCAAACCAAGGATAGCAGCAAGTCTGTCGTGGTCATATACTGCTACTTCAGTGCAAACGAATCATAGTCGCACAAGTCAGCGCTTGCGTTTCGTCAGGTGCCGAAAATGAAGTGGAGGGCGTCCATGTTCGCTCCGGCTCGAAAAAGTAGAATCAGTTGTGCAGTAAAAAGTAATGCCAAAAACCTGCGTGGGCTGGGGAACGAAAGGCGTCTTATTTTTCTTTGGCTTGTTCTATTTTCGCGACTTGGTACAGGCTACGAAATACTGACAAGCTCAGTATATGTCTTCACCACCGAGAGTCACTTGTCCTTAGCCGGACACGCCCCTCACGTATCATGTTCGTTCCTAAAGTTATTTCAAAGCACAGAACCAAACCTAATCAGCGGCCGGAGGCAGAAAAGGGGATGAGCAAAAGGATGTCACAGCATATTTTGCAAGAAACTGGTATCCTTGTGCCTATCGGCTCAGGAACGATTAATTACTACTAGAATTAATATCAGGGTCAGAATTTGAGTGCTGCAATGGGAGGAAAGGAATTAAAGGAAACCGCCGCGCACACCTGTTAAGTCTTTTATAAATTTTCTCGTCCTGACAGTTTCAAGGCATAGAGTGTTTTCACATGACGTCACGGCGGCCATATTGGTGTCCCAAAACAATGAAACGGCGGCCATGTTGGTGTCCCAAACCAATCCTGTAGGAGTTGAACTCCTTTCTTATGCAAACGCTTTCTTTTGTTCCAATAAATTTGCATAGATGCTGGCCACGTGAGTGAAAACACTCTATTTAATTTACAGTGTCTGTTGCAGGTGTCGAATTAATCTTACAGCAACTGGAAACGTGGCCACGCCTGCTGAAACTGAGATTGCTTGTAGGATGAACGGCTATAGTTTGGTATATTCACGAGCGCGTTTTGCCCAGTGAACTGAGTGCGTAGTTTTTCTTAACGAAGGGATGGGGTGGGTCAAGTGAATAGTTCGGGGAACGTTTGCTCTCTTTAGTGGGGGGGGGGGGGTATATTTGTTGATATCAGGAGTTCTGGCCTGGATAGAGTCGTTGTAAAGCTATTTTTGCTTCGGAGTATCGGTTTACCGGAAGCTGAGCAAGGAAAAGTCAAATGGTGCATTTATGGAATAATAATAGAGATTCTCATGGTCTAACAGTGCGAAGATTAGACTTCTGCTAAGGTGGCAACGATCAAGGCCCGCATTGTAATTCATAATGATTGAAGGTCATGATGTAAAAAAAGCGACTGAAATGGTGGATGCCATGCAATCCTCTCGGGTGGGGGCGGCGTACCTGGCCTTAAAGGTTGCCCCTGCGACAGAAGGCAAGCATGCCCAGATTGTCCACAGGTTGCTAAATGAGACCGTCCCTTTCTTAGTACCCGTTCCCTGTCTTAAAATTAGACCCGGGCAAATTTCTCGAGATTGCACCATCATTTTGGGCTTAAAGCTTCCAAAGTCCAACAATAATAGCGCATGTTCGCGACGGTTTTTTAAGTCAGTCAAGTTCTTAAACCAGGCCTTAAACGGCCAGTTTTAAGTGTCGATAACAGTTAAAAAGGCATACAAGCCTCATGCAAAAGACAGTGGGAAGGAAGTGCCCCTCGGTGATGTGGAAAAAGGAGTAGCCCACAGTTATTTAGGGGTGGATCTTTCGAAACATTCTTATACTCTTGGACAGATATGCATTGTTTAAAGTTATAGACAAACCAGGTGTAAATTTATAGTAACAAACTGTTAAATATACATCAGCAAGATTTTTGCGAATCCGATTTTTCGCTGGAGACTATCGTTTACTGGCTGGTCACGCAATCAAAGGTAACGTACTTTCCTACGTTTGTTTACTCACCTTTCGCTCAGCAATACACTGCGTTCCACAAAGGATCCAAATTGCGCTAGAATTGTTTTGCTATTCGGCCCACTTTTTATCTCAGGTAAGGCACGGCAAAGCTGATTCACTTACGAAGATTCGAGGGAGAATTATTTCTTGATGTTATTCTGATTTCGCAGTCACGGGAAAACAGACCTAGACTCACGTCCACTCGCAGACGCTATGGTACAATCTACAAGATCTCAAGAACAGAAATTACCTATTGAACGGCCTCTCCTTTTGAAGATTGCGTGTATTTCATTAAAACAGGTACATATTAAAAGAATCTTGTTAGTTTCGCCCTTTTAACGAGCTCAAATCGATGCATAGAACTAAGGTGACGTGCACGTGTCAACCGACCCTGGGGTCAATTAGCGGTTGTTTGGGGCAAAATAACCTCAAAATAATCAATCTATTTTACAAATGTTCGCGAGAACACCAGACTAACTTTCAGATAATGTTGAAGTACTATATCTCATTAGGTAGTAAGCGGGATTTGGGTTGATTTGGAGAATTCCCCCATGTAGAAAATTCGATTTTGGTTTTAGCGGTAAATTGTTGTATTTATAAGCATTATGCAAATTACGTTTCAAAATTGTGCTCGTTCGTCGATATTTTATGCTCTAAATCTGAAAAAATGTGCTGTTTAGAAATTGTTAATACCTGTTTTTTGAGATTTAAGCGGAAGATTGCCAATATATTCGCTCGTTTATGAAAGTCAGCTCATTTCTGTCGCTAGGCTATATTGCCGTGTTCGGCGGCTAATTTTAGGCCCGCAGACCGTTGAAATCGAAAATCTTAAATAATTCCCAAACTCCGCCGCATTTTGAAATTTAAACCTCAGCAGTGTTATAAACTCATTAAAACCTTATTACAGACTGAAAATGAGGGTAAGTTAGGTTTTTAGCTGTGGCCACGATTTGCCGATTTTGCTCGATTTTTCTGTGCATTCGCTCTTAAGTGTGTTTGGAGAGTAAGCGATGAAGAAATTCAACAAGCCTGGAATTGGATCTGCGAAAAGCGAGATGAATGTGATTTGGAATTGTCGAAACTGAGCGAGGTTTGCTTTTTCTTTTCGGCAATAAGCACCTCAAAGCTTGACAGCAAAAAGAAAAAATCAACAACATCAGATGAAGGACGAGAAAACGACGAGTCAAACGAAGAATCTGCCATAAACCCCTCGCAAATTTCAACGCCTGGAAAGCAAGTTTTCCCAGCAATTTCGTATTGGGTGGCTTGCCAAACTCAAAATGGTTCAGCTGTTAATCGCATGAAAATTCAACGTGCTCTTGGGAAATGCGGGCTCGAGTTCTATCTTTCCAGGGCATCAAGGAAAAAAAATTCTCACGACTTAAACCAACTCTGCCAAGTTTTAAAAGATCACAAGAATCCTTGCCTGATGAATTTTGTGGAGGCTTCTTATCAGCATTGTCTCAGGTTAGTATACTCTATGCAAAACTGTTATAGTAAAGGCTATAGTTAACCAAAGAAATCAACACCTAGGAGTCCACCCTTATTGTTGCCATCTTCTCGTAGTCAAGCAATGTCTCTAATTAACTGTCTTGACTCAAATAAGTAACAATATGCAAGGATGCAAGTGGCTAATTAAGTGCGATTTAGACCATCTGGGAATTTTAACACGAAAAAGAGCGTTAATTCAAACTTTGATGCGCTAGTCAAAAATTTATTCTGAGATAGTAAACTTGTCTGTTTTTTATTCTTTATTGACAGCGCCCTTCAAGACGAAATAGATATTTGTGATGACGAACAGTCTCAAGAAATGTTGTCGACAGAAAATGTGGTTCGTGTGCGAGTGCTTAGGGAAGAATTCAAACCGATGATGACTACATCTATCCGAGAATTGCGCCGCGCTGGTTTGAAAATCGATTGTTTTGGTCTCCATGAAAACGAAAGCAGCACCCCGGGCGTAGAAATACCGTGTACACCACATAAGCCATTGTCTTGCCCACTAACAGTTCTTTGTAACGACATCCATGCCGCTATGAAAAAGCTTCAGTTTAGTGTCTACCGGGAGATGTGTACAAGAAAGTTGCAGAATCACAATTTACTTTCAAGTTTCTTTTTTTGCTCCATGAAGTCATTTCTGTTAAATCTTATGGGGAACGAGTGCTTCAAAGACAGGCTTGTCCAACATTTTCAACGAGTTCTACCACTTCTGAGTGAGCCAGAAAGTTCCCTGATTGGCCAACTTAAAATAGATCGAAACTTGGTTGAAGTGCAGAATGGCTGGTTTTGGTCTTTCTCTGAAGGAGCTTTTGTACAAGGAGTGATCCCAGAATCAGAGGTGAGAGCATACGTTTTCATCAGTAAAGGTTGTTTTAATTCCGTTATCACAATTTTCTTGGCTACAATTTATCTGCTGGCTAAAATGACAAGGTATCTGTTCAATAGAAAAGTCGTTTGTCTATTACTATACAACATATTTAACCTTGGAATATGTCAAATCAAGTGCTATTCAGTTTCGAGTTACCTAATCTAGGACTACTCCTAGTTTGTTGGCGGGTAAAGGTTTCTACTTCTTCTTTTACCTATTTATTACATGTCTGTATGTTTTAACAGTTTTTTTTTCTCTTTTCTACAGCGAGGTATCACATCACCAAGAGCGTATGTCCACTATGACAACCTCCAAGAGCCCGATCCTAAATACTTCGAGCAAATTCTAACCAATAGCCTACCCGAAGGGCAAATACAACAGTTTTGCGCTGATTTTCTCGCGCTATTCAGAGATAAAGAACATAAGCGACCTGTGCCATGTGCCATCGGAGCTTCTGACAGCGGCAAAACGAGCCTGTTCAGCCCAGTGTTTCAAATTGTGCCGTTAAGCCGAATCGCTCGCTTGACCAAACAGAAGAGCTTTAACAAGTCGATGATTGACAGCTCCACGGAAGTTATCTTTCTCGACGAGGCATACAACAACCTGCTCGACATAGATGACTGGAAGATAATTTGTCAAGGCGGTTTTACATCCCACGATGTGAAATGGAAGAAGGCCCAGGGGTTCCACTGCCGTGCAAGTATGTACATTACATGTCAACAGGAGATGGACTTTGGCGAGGCCCACAATGACGCGATGAACCGAAGACTTCACAAGTACTTCTTCAGAAGCTTGCCGCAAGTTAACCCGGAGGCCAACCAGTGGCTGCGAGAACATGCAATGGACTGCATCGTATGGGCCCAAAAGATGGTTGCTACAAACTCCACTACCGCACAGACTGGAAGGACTTTAGGAGAGCGTGAGGACGGTTTAGAAAGTGAAGACATTCAGAGAATTTTGTCCGTTTCCCTACTGGACGAGCACGCCCCCGAGTGCAACACGGAAGGCGGTGAAATCTCACTCACGGATGAAGAGGAGAGTGAAGCCGAAAGCGACAGCTCCGATGAAAATGAAGATGACAACCACATAGACAAGCTTCGCCATGAGCTCGAAAAGGCGGTGCCGGGTGGGTTTCGGCACAGACAGCTGAGCATGCTCCTGCGAAACGCTCAAACACAGCACAAAGCCATCCAAGATCGTCAAATCGCCGGACGTCGACGATATCTAGTAAATTTGGGAGTGACCAGCAAATCGCAGGCAGATCGACTGATTACGCATCCCGACGAGCCACTACCAACCGACCTCGCTCGCAGAGAACAACAGGCCTTGAATGATAGGGCAGAACGTCTCGAAAAGCAAAGGGAAAGAGATGAGCAAGAGAAAGTAAAAAAAGCATTCTCTAATCCGTGGCTGTTAGAAATAGAAAAAGAGATGGCCGAGAACAATATGCGTTTAGAGAGAGGCACAGACCCCGACATGAGTGCAACGCTGACGAGTCTTTTAGAGATTGATTGTGAGAAACTCCGCGCATTTCACGAAAAACAAGGTACCATTCGCCTGCAGATGGCCGTGGAAAAAAGGAAAGAAATCTGTGTGAAACGTGGATTAGTGGATCCTAGGTACGCGAGTTCCATTAGAGATGTGTACTCACCTTTACCGGTTATCGTCGAAGGTAGCAACCAAAACATGTCCAGACCAACGGCTTCAAACGACCATGGTAATACGCGAAAGACACCATCTTACGACCCGCCTGAGGACACGCACCAGACGATGTTTACTCCACCTACGAGCCAGGAGGCCGTCGAATGGGAGAGCGAGGACATGTTCATTACACCGAAGACACCTTGTTACGAGCCCTCATTTGATGAAAGCATTTGCACAGGCTCTTCACCATTACTGAGGCGAGTACCCTCACCTGACAACAGACCTTCGAAGCGAGCAAGACTCTCGAGAAGCCAAACAACCGAGGGACAGAAGCGGGTGACTACCTTTTTTCAGTTCGCAGAAACGTGTAAAAAGTAGGATCAACTTAGGTGCCCGTACATGCAATTTAAGATATACTAAGTTAAACTAACTTGAAGGCCTTTACGCCACAGAACACTTGTATTATTAATGCGTTGTTGTCAGTTTCAAATAATACGTTATTTTTGCATGTTGTCTACGAAGCCCCATGATGGCATGGTCATGCCGAGGAATTCAGTCATTAAATAAATCATGTTGACGTTATGGATTTAGCTTACATTATCTCTTCCTTCTATAGCTGTTTCTCGCATTTTATATAGGGCTAAAGTTTGCAATAATTCATTTATTTGAGTTCAAGAATTTAAGATAGCTACATGCCCTTGAGTTCGTTCGTTAAGTAGGACCTTGTCAGCGCTGCGTCGATTTTGAATATGATCCAAATCTTCGAGCGGCTCGGCTCAGAAGAGAGTTGGCCGTTCTTCCCTTTTGGAACTGAAAGTCGGGGTCCGTTAGAATCGCTTTCCATTGCCCAAATCCGTGCCGTTTAAGTCCAGCTTTGAGAAATTTGTCTTCCTCGGGGGTGAACATTAAACTCTTCCGTCGCGTGCTTGTTTCGGTCACTCTGAACGCATTTTCGCGCCTCAATTTTGGCACTCCTACTAAAGGCTCGCGTTTTGTATCTGTGATTACGTCTTCTTCGTCATTAGAAGACGTATCGGTTCTGCCAACATCTTGTTCTTGTGAAGAACTTGAATTCTCAGACAGCCTAGAGCGTACGTCCATCTCTAGCTCTGATCCCCTCTCGCCCTGTAGTCTTTCCAAAAATGCATGTGCTTTGCTGGCGACTTCGCGAGATCACCGTTTTTGATAGTGAACTCTTGCCACAACAGAGCTGTGTTTCTGGTCCTCGGAGATCGCATCTTGCGCGCACTGCTGAGAGTTCTAGAGCTTGCCGTCTCCACTATTCGGCGGTAACGAGTTGGGTGAACATACTTGCCTGTTGCATCGAACACCAATTTACTCATTGCTTCTCCTAGCTTGTTATGTTGTCGACCATTTCTCGTGACTAAAACATACTCACAGTTAGGCTTGAGAAGTGGGCGAATGTGGTTGATGTAACCTTCTAGGACTTGCATACTGGTGTCTGTCAGGAAAAGGGAATCAAAACCATACTTTCCAGCTGTCTTGAATTGTTTTTGGTCTATGATTCCGCCGTTAGTCTTAGCTTTGTCGACCATTTCTACGGTTAGATATTGGTATGTCATCGGGCGTGAGCCTTTAACCTTGATAAACAAATAGACGGCCAGAAATTTGGTAGCAAACGATAATTCCAGTGGGGAAACAGTATCTGGTTTAACCCTGCATGTTTTAAGCACGCTCTCGTAGCGCGGCAAGTAACGCTCCACCACCTCTAAAAGCTCCTCCATGGTGGCCCAGTGTCCCTTGGCTTCCAAAGCGTCAATATCGAGTTCGCTGGTCCATTGCAACCTCATCATCTTTGAGACGGTTTTTCGTGCCCTTTTTAGGTACATTTCTGCTGTGGACAGGCTTCTCCATACTGTTTCTGATGCGCCGTTTGCTTTTCTGAAATCCGCTAATTCTGCAATGGCGTCCAAGTAACCTATCCGTCCCGCGTGTCCGAGTTTCCATTCATCCTGCATCGTATCAACGAATTTAAATAGGAGATTCGGTGAACATAGGCTAAAATCAATAATGCCAAATGTGAGTTCCTCTTCGTCTTCGCAACAGAATTTGAGAAACTTTAAACACCTGCTGACAATTTGCTGTGCTTGTCGATCGCTTTTACAACCCCCGCCGCCGCCAGTTAGCCATGAGAAAAAACTCTTAGCAATGTTGTTTTTCAAGTCGAATGAGGCAATTGCTCTCGTTGTACGTGGAATCGTCCGATCGTTGGCTTCAATTTTCTCGGACTGATTGTGAAACGATTCCATTTGAGCACTGTTTGGCTTCTCGTCGAAGTAATAGTACCAACCGTGTTTGTTCTTTACGTGTTTTCTACAGCCTCTTTGCGTAGTGAATCCATCGTGGTTACAAATTTGCACTGGGCAGTGAAAAAGACCATCACAGTCACCCTCTTCTAAGTGAAGTCTCTTCGGTTTAGGCGATGCATTTGCTAACTTTGACCAGTTGACATCCTTGCCTCGTTTGTTCATCTTAAGCATTAGCTTGAAATCGATATCTTTCTAAAGTATGCATGCACTTATACAAGGAAAATGGTCCCCAAGAGATCATCCTATTCGCCAATGAGATAGTTGTTAGCCTATCTCTGCCCACACTTGGTCATTCTTGCCCTTGCCCCATTGTTTTCTTGTCCGTATTTGGTACACAATTAATCAAAAGGAACAAAGACACAAGCCTGAACTTGCGCGGGCTAGCCCAAACGAGATTAAGCATGCAGCGGGCAAGTCTCGTACGTAACTTGATTGTTGATGGATACATGTTTTGATAAATTTGTATAGCGGAGGTGATGGACAGTAGTTTCAGATAGCCTTCGATAAATAGGAACTATCGTTCCCAATTCCTTTTTACACTTTGCGCAAAATGGAACACTAGTTCCTTTGTCACAAATTCGGAACCTCTTCCAATTTTTAAGCGGAACATAACACTCATCTTGAGGAACAAAAAACCACCTCGATTAGGAACAATTCCGTTCCTGTTGGGCATGAATAGGAACAATTTGAACCGAAAGGGAACAAGGCGTTCCGAACAGCAGTGGATATGCCAGTAAATAGGAACAATTTGTTCCTTACTGTGTAGAGCAAGAAATTAGATTGGGAACATTTGTTCCCCAATCACTTCGAAAGGAACATGAAGGGAAATCGGAACTGTTGAAAGAGGACCTTTTTGTTCCTGAAAGGATAAAAGTGGAACCAGTTGTTCCTTTTGACTAAAACGAAAAGGAACTTTGTGTTCCAATTTGCTGCTAACGGACCAGATTGTTCCGAAATTTGCCGACCTTTGTTCCTATTGTGCAAATAAAGTTCCTTTATTGTGCGTTCCTAGGTTGTTCCTAAAGCAATTAAAGGAACAAAAAGCAAAAACGCGCGGAACACTACGTTTTTGAAAAAGAGATGTTTCCTCGTGTCGCGTCACTTAAAATCAAACTTTGAAAGTTTCCTCATGTAAAAAACGGCCTGACAATACTAAGGACAAAAATATAATTGAAAACTACGGTGTTTTAACCTGAAATGTTGCTATCATTACTTTTGGGGAATGTATATGATCATATCATCGGTTTTTATTCATATATAGGAGAGTAAACTCCTACCCCCTTCCTAAATAAAGCGTTTTTGCTTCGACTGCCTCTATATTGACCTTCTCCTCTGGGGTCTTCATTTCCTCATATCCCAAGGGAACTGTGGCATCTATAAGAAACGTCACTCTCACTAACACCAATACCATTTTTTTCATTCAGTCTCAGTGCCTCTCAATTTCATATATTCTATTGGTTTAAAACTATAAATTGAATTCTCTTCTAACTCCTCCTCTTTATAAAATTCAGAGTTTTAGTTTTAGTTGCCTTGAGCAGCGACTTAACCTTTCTTTCCCATCCAGTATGCGTTCCTTCTCCACGCCGACGTTGTGGAGAATAGAGTGCGTGACCAGCCAAAGGAATTATGTTTGTGTATGAGTTGGGGCTGGGGCTACTGTTTTATGCTTATAGTCCGCTATCCGTTTCTCTCAGTTTTAGTGTTCTAAAGCCGTTTTTATATAAACAGTCCGTAATCCGCGTTTATACCTAGTCCATGTTTTATGCTTTATAGTCCGTAGTTTCTAGTCCTCATTTTATACCCAGTCAGTGTTTTATACCCAGTCCGCAGTCCCTGGCCTGCAGTCCGCAGTCCATGTTTTATACTGACCGGTTTCCATTTGCACTAATTGTTGCATGGACTCCTGATCCCGGATTTTTCATTGCAAGTTGCCCTCTGCTGTTCGAAGCAACATTCTTACTAGCAGGATCGGCTTCAAATTCAAGGGTTTTTCTGTCGTGGTGGCTATGGATCCAAACACTAGTTGTCCCAATACAGTGTGCTGCCATTCTCCTCAAAACGAAGAAGACCCAAGTCCTACGTACCGCTGAACTCCCAGAGAAACTCGGATTTTTCGATCACACCAGCTTCAGTTGATGTTAGAATATCAAGTTACAACCGTATACGGTTAGGTCCCCCTATTTTCCCTAAGATCGTAGAGATCGAACACTTACTGTAACGGGTGGTCAATTTCGACAATCTTACGGAAAAAATAGAGGACTGTAAACATCCTAGTCCGACTCTTTGATCATTTGCGCGTTCTCTCGGCCAAAGCAAGGTACGATTTATATAGCTGTCTAGTTTTTACTAAAATGTTTTCGTTAAAGAAATACAGTAAAGAAGTGGCATTAAGAATTTACGTGACCAGTAGTCTATTTCATTTTCTTGAATTTGAAGTGAAACGGAGAAACGACGTCGATCAATCATCCCTGTTGTTTTCTATTTGAGATAGCCCGTGTGGCTCGCGCCCTTTTTTTTTTTTTTTTTTTTTTTTTTTTTTTTTTTAAGGGCAAATGGAGCATGCAAGCTACGTTTGAGAATGTATGGGCATTTTCGCAGAAATCAAAGTCGAGCCGACAATCGCATAGTCATTTCTTAATCTACCAAATGAGTGCATGTGTATGGGCAATTTTATCAAGTTCCTTTACTATTAATCTGCCTTGAGCATTTCCGTTCGTTTTTTAATACCCAGTCCGCAATTCACTGTGCATATTTTATACTTCACGAAACTGACAGTATAAAAACCAAGATCGCACAAAACATCATAGAGGCGTGACTTTAAAATATAGAGCTACTGTGCACACAGTCTTTCGGAGATTGATGAAGAGGTTGTTTTGTTATAGCCTGCGAACGGCAGGCGTTTCTCCTTGCTCGTCGCCGCTAAGGGACGTTTCGCTAGGAGGAACGTCTGCAACGCAGCGACAGAAATCCCATACTGATGACGCAAAATCTGACCGGAATCCGGTCAGAATCGCTAATTGGTCAACGGAGTAGTTTCATTGTTTTAGC